AGGGAAAGAACCACAGATCACTGGAGTGCAGAACAGCGTCTGAGCCAGACTAGAGAGCACCTCATTTCCTCATAGGTTAATAACGAAGAGAGATCAGGAGGCAAAACTTGCTGCCTTAAATCATTCTCAGACACAACCCATAAAATTATGCTCCTCCTTTATAAAGCACCTGTCCTTTTCAAACCACTCACTCTCTGAAAACAGATGTCAACACATTTCAGACAGGACCTGGACTTGGAGGAAACAACAGGCTTTCATTTCTTTCTAATAAACTTAAGTATATTCTGAAAACTTTAGGATCACAGTTCCAAAATCTTAGTAGCCACATTCAGATGTGTCCTCTGGCATGATCTGTGTTTATTCCACTGGCCACTGATAGAGCTAAGTCATTCTTTCTGTGCCTGCCTTTATCAGCATCAGGCACTTTGTCTATATGGGAAAGCTTTACTGACTATAATAGCTTAGCCATATCAGGACAACCCCCATGTGGATACACCTGTCCTTGTATAAAAATTACTTTTATGATTTTAGTTTAAATGTCTTTGCAACAACCTAGGCTAAACTGGCAAAAATTACAACACTTGCACACGCTTCTGCTCTCAGGATAAGTGTCCCCATGGAAATCATTCTACTATAATGGTTTAATCTCACAGTTTTACTTATACTGGCCTAACTGTCCTGTGTAGCAAGACCTCAGGAAAATCTGCTTTTAAATAAAGTGGCCCTAACACAGGGAAGTTCCTTTGCCATCTACACATGTATTTCACCACAGTGATCACAGGGGTGCTCATGATCCAGGACTTTGCTGAGCCAACTCTTCACCTGCATTGTGCACCACCTGTTCTGCTCTGAGGCTCATCTGAACACACCGATGATCACAGAGGTGGGGAGGCAGACTGGACTGCGAGGGAGTAGTCCTTCCCTATTCCTCACCCATCCGCTGGGCAGGCTCCCGAGATATGGAGAAGCACAAGGGGATTTCTGCCCCAGTGGGGTGGGGACACCCTGGGCAAAAAGGGCTCAGGTGGGAACCAGGTGCAGGCCTGGCTCTTAGTGCCTGAGCAGGTGAAGGCGGATGTGAAGCAGCTGCTGGGGGTGGCAGGGTCTGTCCCCAGCCCAGTCCCAATCCCAGGCACAGGGGAGCAG